AAACGACTTTGCGGCTTGGCTAGAGATATCTTGGATCCATACGCGGGTAGCTCCCCCATCCCATCCCCTTCCCTTCGCCGAGAGTCGTCCTTTCGTTGCATGCATTCGATCGTTACGATTACTGTTCGACGAGGAAACTTCCGGTAACTATCGCACGTGAGTATCTCCCGACTATTCGGCACCATAGACGGCGTCCAAGAGACGTTACGCGAGTCTGTAGCCCAGCGTACTCGTGATTAGTTCCCACGGGTGCCTTCTCTCCACCTCCCGCGGCCAACTACGAATTCGCTCAACACGCTCGTATGCCCGTTTACCGGAAAATACTTGAGTATCCCATAAGGAAATTTTAGCGATTATCATATGTAAGTTTAATTGTTCGAAAGTTCCATCGCATGAAAAGCGTATAGCGATTCTCTTGAACAGCTCCCAGTAGCTGCCTCGTGAATTTGCTCCAATCTAAATCTTTAATGATTGTCGAGTTATGAAACAAGGGGGATCTTTTTTTGACTGTGAAAAGCGCTGGCTGAAAGTTGCAAGAATTTTTATCATATTATTTCTTCGTTTGTGATATATCTGGAATTATCTCGCGTGGAACCGTTTAGAAGTATGACAAATTAATTTTCGATTGATGCATTAATTCTTTTCTCGTTAATTTACGATACAATCCCGGTCATGAGCGTAACGTTATGCGGAACGCGACAGCAGCGGGTTGGCCCGGTTCTTTTTAAATGCGGAGATGAAAAACCGCTACATAACGCGGACGCACAACTGCCGCTGTTTTTCGAAGTTTACTTTATGTAATGCGGTATCGCGGCCGGCATCACGGTAGGTCGTTAAACACGCGGTAGTCTGTTTTTATGGCTGTTCCGGTGTACGAACACTTTTTGATATTTGAATCTCATACTTTATACTTCCTGCGATCGTGAGTTCCCAAGGCCGCATTGCTTTTATCGCGATTTAATCTTGCCGCAGCGTAGTGGCCTAATTACTCACAGTCGAATTCTTGTCACTTATATCTTCAATCTCACTACTTTAAGTTCAGGCACGGCGAGAAATAATGGCCATAGGATAGGCACGATAATTTCAGTAGAAATCACGTATGAAGGACGGAGAGTGCTTAATATTTATTAAATATTTTTGAGACCTTCAGAAAATATTTTAGAGACACATTCTTTGATTTTTCTTTACCAGAAATTTTCCAAGAGTAAAATCTAATTAACAATAAGAAAATATTTTATATTTATGATATAATTCTGCAATTTTATTGTATATTAATAAAAATTTGAACTATGTAAAAAACGAAATTGCGTGAGGACAGAAAAATTCACAGGTTACGTTACAACACTTGAGTCTCACGGCGTCGATACGCGGCATTTGTCGTGGAAGAGAGAGCCGTACTGCGTCCCGATGGTGCTTTTAGCGCTTAAACGACCGGCATTTAAGGTAGCCCGAAAGGGGAAAAGAGTGCATGTACGAAATATATATACAACGCGGCCTCACCTCGAGATCCTTATCGTGGAAGGGTTATGCCCCCGCGCGCGGTCGACTCCGCGCGCAGTCAAAGAAGAAAAACGCGATACGATCTCGTTCCGGCCGGCGGGTCGCCCCACGGAGCCCGTTTCTCTCTCGTAATTACGAAATTGCCTCTTTGAAAGATCCGCTCCGCGCGTCCGCGCGGTCGATTCTCTCTATTTTCTTTTCCCTCATCGGCGTCGTTACCCATCGTCGTCCTCCTCTCCCGAGATCGTCCTACCGCCGCCGCCACCGCCGCCGCCGCTGCCGTCCCTCGCACTCCTTTTTCCCTCGGCGTCATCGCGAAATCGGCAACGCATTATCCCATCCTCCCTCCTGGCGATCGGCCTCTCTCTCTTCCTCTCTCTTTCTCTCTTTTGCCGCACCGAACGCCCCTCTTTCTACTCTCCTCGCGTTTTTATTCCTGATCGCTCCGGCCTCCTCCCGGTCGCCACGCCGCGAGATCGACCCCGTCTCGCTCAGGTTACCGCGATAGGTAATTTTAACGCCCGGCCGGTCTTGCCGAACGACTTCATCCAGCGGAACGGCTGTCGCGGCGTGGAGTGGCGTCCACGATCGATGCCCAAACTCGGGGGATCGACACAGCACACCCGTTTACCTTCGCGTCGTCGGCCCTCCTCTTGTCGCCTACGAGCCACCCGGTGCTCTCGTTCGCCGAGACTTTAATCTTCTCACAGTTGGAACTGTATTTTTATTGCATCTGTATTGAATTTTCTCTTGAAAATTTTTATCAAAAACTTTATTAACTCGCCTTTTTCTATTATCTTTTAATTAGCATTTTTAAATTATCAGCGACATTAACTGAAAAATAAATTTGGCTATAAATTTAACTTCTGGCTTTTCAAAATTTAAACATGACCCGGCTTTTAAAAAATTTTTTCGATTCTTTTTCAGAGAAGGTATTCAAAAAATTGTACAAAAATGTCTTAATTTACTTATCTATAAATATATTTTACTCATACAAATTAGGTTATTGACTTATTTAAATGAAGGGAAATAAAATAACATATTATGAATGAACATCTCTTACTTGAACAAAAATGGCCTACAGAATGATCAAAACCCAATTAATTAAAATTGGATGTATAAGTCATATTAATATTGCAAGGATAATTTAGGAACATTAAGCACTATGAGAAACATTATTGTCATAAACGTATTCGATATTATTGTGTTAATTTGAACGCTCAAGTACTTGCTATTATGATAACTATAATAATATAATCCAATGAGCAACCAATTATCATCTTAATTATATCTGTATGCGCCATGTGAATACTTGACGATATCTTAATACAATATTTGAAATTAATTTCTAACGGTGCGGCGCCGCGGCTAATAAAGGAAAATCGAATCATCACCCGCCACGATGTGCAGAACCGAGGGAATGAACGGGGAGAACACAATCGTCGTCTTTTGGCCATAAAAATAAATCATTAACCTCGGTGTTCAGGCTCGCAAGAATCACCCTTGCCGAACGGATTTTGCACCTGTTTCGAAGGTACCTCTTCGTTCCCGCTGCTACGCGCGGGTCACGCTTCTTGCACTTCTCGCTCTCCTCTTCTGCATCTCCCCCTCCCCCCCTCCTGCCCGCCTATATAACTCTTATACCGTATTCTTTCCCCTCTCGCTGCTCCATCAGTTCGCTCTTTTCCGCACTCTTTTTTTCGTGAGCCCGTCATCTCCGTCTGTCTCCGAAGAGAGTTCGAGGCCGTCCCACGTCCGCGGTAATCCGGCTAATTTCGTCGAGTTCCCAAGGAATGAGTTGAAAGAAACAGGTGCCGGGGGCAGAGAAAGATGGACGAGATTCGGTCGAATCGTGACGTACGACGCGAGGAGAGAGAACGACGAAGACGACGAAGACGACGACGACGACGACGACGATGGCGTTGGCACCTACCGCACGGGTTTAATCGCGCGAGAAGCACCGAAGTCGTACCGGCTCCGAGAACTTCACGAACTTCGGAAGTTTTAACGGCGCCGTCAATTTTTCGCGATAATATTTGAACTTCCGATATTTCATACGCGAGCGATTTTGTGAAGCGAAGTGTGCGCGAAAAAGGCGGCCGATCAGATAACGATCGAAGCAGATGGATTTTTAAAATTGAACTTAAATATTGTAATCGCATTTTTTACGCTGCATTACTCAAATTGTGTAACGTAAGAGTCATTCCTGCGTAAACTTCATCTCTTAATTCTTTGAAGTTGATTTTTTTTATAATAAAAATACCGAAATGTGGATTTTATCTTGACAGACTGTTAATCCCCAGGATACGAATTGTCAAAATATTCATGGATGAAGATTATAAAATTTAAAATACATTTTTTGTACTACCTGCTTGATATTGTGGTAAAAGGAACAATTTATTGCAGTAATATTAGTTGATTGTAGATAATTATATGGCTATAGATACTATTGACCATGCTTCTTGCAATGCTGCTTTCACTTTTCGCGGCTATATAATACCGGAAGGAAATAGCCACGTGGCCGGTTCGCGTAACATCGAATACGATACCTGATCGATGCTTCGATCGGATAGCGGAGGCTAAGAATGGCCGAAGTACGCGTCTCTACGATACTGAGAAGAACCGGTGTGACAAGGCTTCTAGTATCAAATATCTAAAGAGGGTTGGTATTAGTTTTCTCGGCGAAGGTTCTGGCTGAACAAACTTTGCGTTGCGATTTATCCCTCGAGAAATTTACTCCCTCTCTCTCTCTCTCTCTCTCTCTCTCTCTCTTACACGTTTTGAAACTTAATATAAATGATGATGTAAACGCTATATTATTTTCTATTTTATGCTGCGATTACTCTTTTATTTCTATATTCTTTAATAATTTCAGTAAAATAAAAATGTGTTAATAATGAAGAGAAAAGAGAGATTATAGAGAAAGAGAAATATAAAAATTTCAATCGTATAGTTCGTAGCATGATATTTACCGTCGCATGCGGAATTGACAATATAACGTTCTAAAAATGATGTCGCACAAAGTTGTCGCGACTATATTTTCTACAGATACACACGCGCAAAATATGGGACGTCGTAGCTACTTAAAAAGTACGACGCACTTTGGTGCAAGAGAAATACGAAAAGCTGAACGCGCGAACCTCGAAAAATATATAAGACGCTCAAGTGACGAAATATTTTCCCGTAAATTGTTCGTCGAAAGGTACCGCATACTTGATTTTATAATAAGAATAAATTTAACTCGATGAAAGCTATACGCTCCCGCGTAATTACACCTGATATAAGGTATAAAAAATGTATAAGAGTTAATATTTAATTTGCGTGAAGAAACTTTCGCTATACTCTTCCTACTACTCACACACCCAGCGTATTATTTTTCACTTCTTTAAAAGGTTTCGTACTTCTCGATCCGCTCTTAAAATTTATATAATCAAAAATTAAAGAACAACTGGATAAATGAAATAGGTAAATTATGCAACGTCTCGTCCGGATGGATATGTAGTAGCGATCCGTCGCGTTATCCTCAACAGGCAAATTCAAAGCTCAAAAAGCTTCGATCGTCATCTCGCGCTCTATGCCGCGCGAACATAGATACTGAATTTCATTGTTTTCCTGTTGTGCGATTCCTTAACAGACTTTTTCAGTCGTGTGAATTATTTTTCTAATTTTATTCATATTTCGTTTTTTGATATGGGTAAATCGTCTCATAAATCAAGAAAGAGAAGGAGGTCTTCCTCCGGAGACCGTCTCGCGGCCCTCGAAGAAAAGGTGTTACGCTTAATCTCCTTGATGAAACATAGAGAGGTTAGCGATTCTCATTCTTTCCCTGCATACATGTCGGAATCCTCCTTTAAAGTTCGTCTTGATCAGGGATCAGATATAGAACTTGCATCAGAGATCTCGGTTATCGAAGAGGGTGCTGTGGAGCCCCGTCCTGCCTTTGATATCGAGTATTCTTTGGCAGCGCCTGCGTGTCAGGAAGGGCCAAGTGAATCTTTGGCAGCGCCTGCGAGTCAGGAAGGGCCAATAGATCCACATTTTTCAGGTGTGTACGATCTTTCTAGTTCTGTATTTGTATAATACAGACGACGAGTCGACACAGCCTTTTTTCGATTTTTCGGAATATCTCTTCCTGCTTTGCAGATCCGGTAGGTAGTGAGGACGCGACGTCTCCTACTTCTCCTCCGGTCATGTTGACAGATCTGCCTGTGACCTCTGCAATTGAGGAGAATTCTGCGGATGCTCTGACTCAGGAACTTTTCGGCTCCGATCTTGAGGGGATAGAGGCGAGACCTTGGCACGATCTGGTTGTGTCAAAGTGGCAACATCTCACCCGCAACGGCTTGGAAGCAGAACGTCGAGACTCCTTGTTGAAGAAATATTCTCTTTCGGAAGCGGTTGCTTTTCTAAAGGCCCCCAAGTTAAATCCGGAATGTAGATCGGCCCTGAAAAGTAATTCTATTGTTAAGAGAGATGATTTTAACGCCAGAGATCAAGATCAAGTAGGCTTTGCTCTTTGCGCTTTTGGTGAAGCCATTTCCGATTTCCTTAGTCCTGATATACAACATTTGCTGGCTCCGGAGGCACGTTCAGCTGTAGCGAAAGTTAACGATGGGGCTTTGATCTTAGCAGATCTCTTTTATCGCCTTTCCTTGTCTAGGAGAGCTCAGATTAAGCCAGCTCTTAATCAACTCGCAAAAAATACTGCAGACGCCTTACCAGCCGATGTTCTACTTTTCGGTTCTTCTTTTGGAGACGAAATGAAGAAGGCTACGACTATGGAAAGATCTTCGAAGGATATTATCAGGACTCCTTTGATAGTTCCTAAGAAGCTGCAACAGCCTTTCAAGCAATCGTCGCAGACTACTCTTCCAAGGTCGGGAAACTCCCGCGCCCCTGTTTCGAAATTGAGACAAGTGACTGCGAGAACAGGGGCGTCGAGCAGCGGTCACCGATCTTTTCACCGCCCCAGATCTCGCTCGAGGAGACGTTAGTCACTGAGCAGGTAAATGTTGCCGGCAGATTATCTTTTTTCCTTTCCAATTGGAAACGGATTACTTCGGATCCAGTGATTTTGGAGTCCATTTCCGGCTATAGGCTTCCTTTTAAGAGTTTTCCGCCTCTTCAAATCTCTGAGCCCTCGATTCGTCTTTCTAAGACGGAAGAAGTTTTTTGTTATCAAGAAATTATCAGGCTCAGTAATAAAGGAGCAATAGAGCTCGTTTCAGATTGTGAAGGCCAATTTCTGTCTTCATTTTTTATTATTGAAAAATCATCAGGAGGCTGGAGATTTATTTTAAATTTAAAACGTCTTAATAAATTTATCTTCGCTCCACATTTTAAGTTGGAAAATTGGAAGACTGTTATCCACCTTCTTTCTCCTAATGATTTTCTTGCATCTATTGATCTTGAGGATGCGTACCTACTTGTTCCGATTCACCGAGACGACAGAAGATTTCTACGTTTTCGTTTCCAAGGACGTCTTTTTCAATTCAGAGTTCTACCATTCGGTTTGGCATCGGCGCCTTACATCTTTACAAAGATTTTAAAACCAGTCCTTTTTTCTCTCAGAGAGAAGGGTTTCCTCTCTGTTGCATATCTAGACGATTTTCTTCTTATAGGTTCTTCCTATAAGCAATGTTTAGAAAATATCTCTGCGACACAAAGCCTTTTAGCTTCTTTAGGTTTTGTAGTTAACGAATCTAAAAGTGTTTTTACTCCATCAAAATCTTGTCGGTTTTTGGGCTTTATTTTTGATACGGAATTTTTCTCCATTTCCATTCCTCAAGACAAGAGAGTTAAACTTCTACGAAAGACTCTTGACTTATTAAGTAGAAAGTCTTGTAAAATCCGATTTTTTGCTAGTTATATTGGTTCTTTAATTTCCGTCTGCCCAGCCGTATTATATGGAATGTTGCATACGAAACTTTTGGAAAGAGAAAAATTTTTAGCTCTCTTATCAGCGGACGAAGATTTTGATTCGCGAATGTCTCTTCCGGTTTCTATTAATAAGGATCTTTTATGGTGGAAGGCTGTTTTCGAGAACCCTTCACAATGTAACTTTATTAGATCAGAGTTTTTTAAGCTCGAGATCTTTACAGATGCTTCTCTATCAGGTTGGGGTGCTGTTTGTGGCTCAGAGAAGACTCACGGTTTTTGGTCTCCAGAGGACAAACAGAATCACATCAATTATTTAGAGCTTCTGGCTGTTTTTCATGCCTTAAGATCTTTTACTTCTCATTTAAAACAATGCAACATTTTATTAAGAGTAGATAATTCTACGGCTCTTTCATACATCAACCGTATGGGATCGATTAAATTCCCTCTCCTATCAAGTCTTGCCCGGAGAATCTGGGAATGGTGTGCTGAGCGAGAACTTTTCATCTGCGCTTCTTACATCCCTTCCGCTCAGAATACGGAAGCAGATGCCGAGTCGCGTGTAGTTTCTGAGGAAACTGAGTGGTCACTGAATTCGGAATCTTTTTACAGTATTGAGGCTTTCTTTGGTCCTTTTGATATTGACCTTTTTGCCACGTCAATTAATGCAAAATGTCCTCGCTTTGTTTCATGGCTCCCAGATCCTCTGGCATACGCGGTTGATGCTTTTTCTTTAAACTGGGGTAGTTTTTTCTTTTATGCATTCCCTCCGTTTATTCTGATTCTAAGAGTTTTACGAAAGATCATCACTGATAAGGCAGAGGGAATCGTAGTCGTACCCTGGTGGCCGGCTCAGCCGTGGTTCCCCCTGTTTAATCGACTTATCAGAGATCAACCTATTCGTTTTGACCCCGATACTAACTTACTGTCATCTCCTTTCAGAGAGGTTCACCCAGCTTGGAACAGGATTTCCCTGGTAGCCGCGAAGTTATCCGCCAAGCATTTTTAGACAGAGGAACTCCGGCTTCGGCGATGGACGCTACGCTCGCTTCCCTTTCTATTTCTACTTTCGCGCAATATGCTAAACCTCTCAAGTTGTGGTGGTATTTTTGTAAAGAGAAACAGATTAACTGCTTTTCTCCACCAATTTCCTTTTTTCTTGAATTTTTATCTTCTTCTTTTTTGAATATCGGTTCTTATTCTACTCTGAATACGTATCGCGCGGCCATTTCTCTTCTTTCTGCAGGCGAAATAGGATCTCACCCTTTGGTAAAGAGATTTTTCAAGGGAGTTGCGGTACTGAAACCTCAACGCCCACGTTATAATTTTATTTGGGATCCTTCCCCAGTGATTTCTCATTTAGCCACTTTGTACCCTCATGAGTCTCTTTCTCTTGAGATCATTTCTAGAAAACTCATAACTCTTCTGGCACTCACAACCGCCCAACGTATGCAGACTTTAGCAGCCATACAGCTTTCTAACATTTTCTTTTCTGATTCGTTAGTTATTAAAATTCCGGCTAGACTTAAGACCTCGGGTGTTGGAAGATACCAACCTCTACTTATTTTTAAGCCTTTTTTAGGCAAACCGGAGCTTTGTGTTTTTTCTTTGGTAAATTTTTATCTTAAGCTTACTCAGGATCTTCGTCATAAGGATTGCGTTTCATTTTTTATTTCTATTCGTTCGCCACATAATTCAGTTTCCTCCCAAACGTTAAGTCGTTGGGTTAAAACAGAGCTGGGAGCAGCGGGAATCGATATTTCGATTTTTTCGGCGCACTCTACTCGACATGCTTCCACATCTTTTGCGGCAGATAAGGGTCTTAATTTGGATGAAATTCGGCGTACCGCCGGATGGAGTAAATCTTCGGCGGTCTTTGCACGTTTTTATAATCGTCCGATCATTAAAGACTCGTCTTTTCA